GTAGCCTCCTTACCGGTCTTCCCGCTTCTGCCCTGGCCCCCGACAGTTTGTCCTCCACGGAACGGCCAGGGGGATCCTCAGTAAATACATGTTGAATGAATGAACCAATGAGATATGGTCCCTGCCTTCAGGGACTTCCTAGTTGGTGGGGAAAATGGAGAAGAAATCACCGGAGTTCCCAGAGACCCATTTACATGTGAGGCAGGCACTATGGCTGCACCAAAGAGAGGCATCTGGGGGTATCAGGGAAACCCCCGGAGAGAGGGAGCCATTTGAACTGGGCCTGAGAGGATGAGTAGGAATTTGCCACAGGCAACAGATTGAAGAGAGGTATTTCAGAAGGGGGTGCAACAGGATTGCAGCTGGAGCTTTAAGGTGTCCTGTGTGTTTGGGGACAGCGAGTGGCCAGTGGGGTATGAGAAAGGGCAGGTGGAAGGAGACTAGGCCCTAAGGCTGTACGATAAAGGGCCTCGAATGCCAAGCCAGGATTCTCATTTCGGGAGAATCTTTCCCAGCCGTAAAAGGGAGGTTGAGTCAGCCAGTGCATTTCACTTCCATCATGACCGTGGTTTAGTAGCTGCCCAAAGCCTCAGTTTGAGAAGGACCTAGAAGCTGCACCCAGGCCCATTGGTTAGAAGGCCGTGGTTGATTGACAGTCTCTGCCGCAGGAGTAGATGCGGTCGAGCCACGCATTCGCAGACGCCGGAGGTGGGTTTGGCTCCGTAGGTCATTGGCACAGAACTTTTTCTTTCTATCCCTGGGGGTGTGCAAGGGAGAGAGGGCCAGCCCCGGGTAGCAGGTTGGAAGGGGAGCCCGTAGGTAGGAGGAGTGTCTCACGGTGTTTTATTTTCTCCTCATTAGTGATAAGATGTTTCCGGCTCTAGGGTTTGGGGCCCAGTTGCCCCCGGACTGGAAGGTGAGTGAAGCGGGCTGTTTCCGCTCGGCCGAGGTGGGATTGATGTGTGTGACCTCTCCGAGATCCGCTTTGGAAAGACCTGGGGCCGGGGCCCAGCTGCCCTGCCTTGTCTGAGTTCCCCCGGAGCCGCCCTTATGTCTCCACCTGAATCCCATGTAGGCCCTGGGCCTCCTAACCAGCAGGACAGCTATGGTCTCTACCGGCCCCCTCCCCGCAACTTCGTCTGCTGGCCATTTTGGGGAGTGGGGCAAGATCCTGCGAAACCAAAGCTGGGTTTCTGGGCAGACACCATGATGCCAGGGGTGTATGAGGGGAGGAGGGTGGGTTGGTGCGGCCAGGCCCAGCATGAGCCGGTTGCTAGGACACCAGCCGGCTTTCAAAGAACTCTGGCTCAACGAGATGTTTTCCTGTGCAAAAGCCTCCTTGGAAATGTCACAGGGCAACTCTAGGGAGGCTAGGGCTTGGCCAGGCTGGAGGGCCCAGCCGTGCCCAGAGGGATGCTGTAGCGCCCAGGCTGGGAGAGGCCAGATGCTCTGTCTCTCCACCCCCGCCAGGCTTGGCCCCTCCTGGCCCCTTCCCGTCCCTTCTCATTCTAACCCACCTTGACTCTGCCGCATGAACCTTCTTTCCTTCCTTCCCACCTCAAGGCTTCTGCGTGTGACGTTCTCCTGGCCTGTCGCTCCCTTTCGCTGAGTTTTCACACCGATTCTCATCATTCCCCTGGGAGGCCTTCCCTGAGTACTTATTTGTTGACAGTGAATTTGGGGCCTCCAGGTGTTGGTTCTCTGATGGTTGGAAGCTGGAAGGAGCTAGAAGAACCTTGAGACCCAGTTGCCTGCCCTTGGGGCTTCGGTTCCTTCCTGTCCTGGGCAGTAGCTGAGGGACTCAGAAAGCATGTCCCTGAGGAGATGGCATGAGGGCTCGGACCCTCAAAACGAGCCAGAGTTAGTAAAACAAAAGTAAAACAAAAGAGGGATTGGGCGGAAGGAAGGTCTGTGTCGGGGAGGAGAGCAGAGTTTATGACTCTTCCCACTGTACAGATGGGGAAACTGAGGCTCAGAGAGGACAGTCCGTCTGAGATCCTGTCAGCTCCCTCCCAACCTCCCTCCACTGTCCTGCCCCTGCCAGGGCCACAGGGAGCAGCGTCTTAAGTAACTGGCCAACTAGGGGCCGGGCAGGATCAGGTGGGGTTAACTGGCTATCGATTGTCACAGGCCTCAGAGAGTTCCAGGACAAAGACTGGCTTGTCCCCAGGGGCCCCTAATCGGCTTGGTGTGGGCTCCAGGAAGCTTGTCCTGTTTACTGGCATTTCTTAGGCAAACCAAGGCGACCAGCATGGGAGGGGGCTGGGCTGCCACGGACAGCTGGACTTCTTGTCCCCCGGATCTGTTCCTGGCTCTGCTGTGGCTCACTCACTATTCCCTGGCCTCAGTATGCCTTGGCCCTGCCCTCTCTAAACCTGTGTTGCCACCTGTGAAATGGAACTGCTGGAGTAGGTGACCTGAGAGGCCTGAGGTGTGGACAGTGACCTCCCACAGCCCCCCCCACTTGACCCCAGGACAGACCCTCCCCCAAAGAGGGGCACAGAGCGGGGAATGAAGAGATTGGGTGGCTGAGAAAGCGAAATATTAATCCTTTCCTGTCAGAAGGGGGCTTTTCCCCTTTGGTCTCTAAAATCTCCTAAAATCTGATTTTTCGGGAAATTGTTGGCCCAAGGGAGGCCTGTTTCCCTGGCAACCATTTTCCTCTCTCAGCCCCTTCCATACAAGCCCCCCTCTTCATCTCTGTAGATGGTCATGAAGTTGCCATGGCAATAAGGACTGCCGGCCCTTACACCTGGAGCCCAGAGTGGGGACAGGGTAAAGAGGGCCCCTGGACAGGGAGGGACTGGGCTCAAGAGGGACATCAGGGGACCGGCTCCGTGCCAGGCATTTAGGGCCAAAAGAACAAAGAACAGAAGCGACCGGTCCCTGGAAGAAGGTGGGGTCTCCTCAGGCCGCCCACCCACTAGGATGAACTATCCCTGCCGAGTCCCTCCTCTCATGCCCGGGGGCCAGCCCTTCTCAAGGCATGAGGGGCCCGGGGCTCAGGCCTGTCCTGCTACGTGGCCTTGACGCCTGGCTTCCCCTCTCTGGGCCTGTTTGTTTGTGGAGTGGAGATGTTGGACTTCCAGCACGTCCACTGTAGTGTCTCGGAGCGAAAACGTCTCTCTGGAATCGTTTGTGTCCAGGCTGAAGCTCTCCCTTAGCCTGGACCTCTCCACCCTCCTAATTTAATGCCCCTGGGTGACGAACAGCTTCTGAGGTTAGAGGGTTCATGGAACAAGAGCTCGGGAGGCAGCCTGACCCTGGTTCTAGTCCCGACCCTGCCCTTCAGTACGTGGAAACGTCCTAGTTCATTCCGTGTCCGCTTCACCATCTGAAAAGTGGGGTAATTCACAGGCCTTTCCTCACTGGCCTGTCGTGAGGAAGGAACGAGGCGAAGCACTGGACGTGGGGCAGCGAGGCAGGGGGCTGAGCGGTGTTTGGCTGTGAGGGGGCAGGGGGAGGGAGAATGGGGAGGTCGCCGCATCTGAGCTCTGGCCTCTCCTGAGGCCCCAGGTTCTGCAGTCACCCTAGTCCTAGTCACAGCTCTGAACAGGGTCCACCTGGGCTCAGGGGCTGGGCCTGGAGGAACCATGACAGCCCTCTCTGCACCTGTCCCCCCGCCCGGCCCCACTATCCAGGTCCCCCAGTCCAGCTCTGAGTGGGTTGCCGGCTAATCCCCAGCTTGGTTCGCTTGCGTAAGTTGAGCTCCTTTCCAGGCTCCTCCACCATTAGAATGGGGAAGAGCCCTGGAGCCCAGGGAAGTGGGACTTTCATTACGGCCCCCACCATACTGAGCGCCAGCGACCAAGGGGCATTCCAAATGCCCCGTGATCCACCACCCACAGGGGCACCTCTCTGTCCCACTGGGGGACTCTCGTAGTGGGGTGAGGATCAGGGCAGCCCTGATCCCGCAGAAGAGACTGGGGTGACGTGCAAGGATCTTGGTTTCCTCCATCATGAACCGCGGCGGCTGGGTCTGTCCGTGTCTGTCCGTGTCTGTCTGTGTGGGTCAGACCCAGCAGCGGATGGGAAAGCACATGTGCGGAATATCGATAGCCTTGACCTGGGGCTGGGGAGCAATAAAGAGCCAGGCATCTTCAGAGGAGCCTGCGCCTGGTGGGAAGGTGGGGGTGCACTTGGACTTGGAGGCTGGGGGTGGCCTGGGCCCAGGTCTGGAGCCCGGAGGCTGCCAGTTCAGCATTTTCTCTGCATTTCAGGTCTCTCATGAGTTTGCCATCAACTTCAACCCCACCAACCCCTTCTGCTCAGGTGAGTGTCAAGCCCACCTGCATCTGCCTTGGTTTTTACACCTGGCCATCTCTGGGCGGAGGGAGGGCAGAGTACAGGTTTCTGTCCCGTTCTCCCCTCCCCCACCACTCACGCTCGCTCAGAATGACAGATGAGGAGAGAGCTAGGGCTTGGAGTCAGGCAGTCCTGGAATCAAGGCCAGCTGCTGCCTTTTCCTGGCTGTGTGACCTTGGAGAAATCACTGCACCTCTCGGAGCCGAGACTTTGCCTCCTCACCTGCCCCAGGGAGGTGTGATACCTGCTTGGCTCGCCTCACTCTGGTCAGGTGAGATTTAAGAGAACTGTTGACAGGAAGCCCTGTGTAGAGCAGGAGGAGGTAAGGGTGGCAGGTTATGCAGCTGCCTCTCACCTCCCGTCCGCCCTCCCTGGGTGGGCCCAGCCCTGCCCTGTTCTCCCTGCCCTCCACAGAGAGCCTGAGGGTTGCCTGGGGGAGGGCAGCAAGAAGGGCAGGGAGTGAAGGGGGTGTCTGTGCTTATCACTGGCACCTCCAGGCCTACGAGGATTTCTGAGCCCTGCAGAGTCAGTTAAGGACGTACTGGAGGAGGAGCGGGTGCTCCAGGTGGGCCTGGAAGACGGCGGTCCCTGCCATCGTGGGAACTTTCAGCCTAGGATTTGGTTTGGGTGTAGCATCTACCTTCCCTGGGGATCCCCAAAGCTGGGCCAGGTTTGTACTTGGGAGGGAAATGTATCAAACTGCCAACTTGGGGATGATGCTGTGACTCAGAAGCCACGGGCATCTGTTGGCAAGACGCGGCCCCGTACTCCTGCTGGAGTCTGGTTTGGAGCAGGATCCAGAGATGTTTCGTGCAGATTCATCTTGATCAACCTCATCTCTGGCCAGAGATCTGCTGGGCACGACCACGGGGCAGGGGGATATTCTTCGGCTGTTTACAGAGCATCTACTATGCAGGGGCTGTGCGAGCATCTAAGTCCCCCCAACAATCCTGAGCAGAAGCCGTAGTGTATCCAGAATGGACCTCCAGATGGCTTCCCATGGCCCTGAAATGTCACTGCAGGCTTTGCCAAGCCTGCTGGACTCCCTCCTGCCAACTGCCCAAAAGTGTAGGTTATCGGTCTCATTAGCAGACAAGGAAACAGGCTCAGGAAGATTAAACAAGTTGCCCCAGGTTTCCCAGCTAAGTGGTAAAGGCAGAATTCAAACTCAGGCCTACCTGACTCCACATTTGGGGCTCTTTGCTCTATACCGCCCTAGCCCTGCCCTCTGGGAGCTTCCGGTCTCATGGGGCGCACACTGGCCATGGCAGGGGCATCTGGTTACAGTCGGGATGAGAGCGGGTGCAGGGTCAGGGAGGGCCTGGCTGATACAGACTCTTCTCCTTGAGGCAGGCGTGGACGGCATCGCCCAGGCATACTCAGCTTGCCTGCCCCACATCCGCTTCTACGGTCCCACCAATTTCTCTCCCATCGTCAACCACGTGGCCCGGTTTGCAGCCCAGGCCATGCAGCAGCAGACGGCCACGGTGAGTAGGCAGCCACCAGTGTGGATGCGCCGGACAGGGCTGGCACTGGCGGGGCCAGACTGAGGTCCATCCTTCCTACCCGCCCCCCTCCACCAGGCTGTCCCGCTGCATAGCCTGCCTTCCCTTGTTCTAAAATCCTAGGTGCCCCTGCATCTCAGTTCACATGCAGGTATGGTTACGGGAGTTGGACCAAGCTCAGCTTGACTGGTCCCGGCCTCCTGGAACACAGACCGGAGGTGGACGTAGAAGCAGGCCCAGTAGGAAACAGAGCTACAGTCGATGGGGTGTGCCTCCCCAGGGCAGCGGGTGCACATGGAAACTCGGAGGAGGGGGCCTGCCACTCTAAAGGTGACCCTCGGGGCCACCTCGTCCCAATGGAACAACCCCCGTCTTACGCTGAGGGCCAAGGAACAGTGTGGCCCTGGCCTGGCCTCGTCCCAGGCATCTGTGTCCCTGGTCATCTCCCACCCCCAAGCCCTCTGCTCGATGCCAGTATCGGGGGGTTCCAAAGGTCACCTTCTCCAGCTCCCCCGCCGTCCACCAAGGCCTGCTCTGGCCTCGCTCTGCAGTGTGAGTTGGGGACTGTCCTCCACCTGCCCAGGTCCTGCGCCCAGTCCCCCTCATTAGGGGCCTCTCTGAGGCTGGGAGCCCAGGAGCAGCCTTGGGGTGGCGGAACCTGGCCTGGAACTGAGGAGACTGGGGTCTGGCCACCGTCCCCCGGGACACCTGTACAAACTGTTAGCCCTCCGCCCCAGGCTTCCTCCCCCTCCAAAAGGAATGGGTCACTGCACAAGGGCCAAAGTCCTTCTAGACCGTCCTTTTCACTCCCAGAATAGTGTATCAAATTCACCCACTCCCCCCTTCCCCATGGGAGGGTCCTTTCAGCGGCAGATATCAGAGCCTGCCCCTCCCTGGCCTTCCTCAGCGACTGCCCAGCCCTTCCGTCACTTACAGCCATTCCGCCGCTGACCTCTCTTCTGTCCCTTGGACACGCCATGCTTGTTCCCTCCACAGAAACTTTGCTCTGCCATCTCCTCCGCCTGGAGGTTCTTCCCTGACTCCGCTTGGCTGGTTCCCTCAGGGTCCCTTCCAGGGCCCCTCTCCCGCCCCCCCGTCTTTCCTCGGCCACCCGCCCGGAGTCCGTCTCCTGCCTCCCCTTTATTCCCATCTTAACTTGGATGACATCTCCTTCACGTGCTTGGTGTCTTGTCTATCGTGCATCTCCCCGTTGGACTCTTGGCCCCACGGGATGGGCTGTGTCTGGGTGGTCGCTGTCATCTGCTTGCTGTGGGCTGGGGGCAGTGCAAGGAAGTGGGAGGAGGTGACTCTCCCAGAGGGAAAGGGATGTGGTCCCACTGGGACTGCCTGGAGGAGAGAGGCATCTACTTGGTCCCTAGGGCGGCGGACGTTGGCGGTTGGCAGATAGCAGCAGAGGGTCTGTAGGGAGGGGGACGTGGGGTCAGCCTGCCAGGGCTGGAATTTCGCCCTTGGCCCTTCCTCACTGTGACATGGGCAAATCACTGAACCTCTCGGAGCCTCGGTTTCGTTATCTGTCCGGTGGGAACACTAACAGGACCTGCTTCGAGGGGTTAGGAGTACATGAGATGATGCAACCCCTGGCACCCAAAGACATCTGAAGGAGAAAGGACGGGTGGCAACAAGCTCCTGGCAGAGGCCCCTGGCAGAGGGAACCACGGAGGCCAGGGACAGGCAGGAGGGAGGTCGATGGGTGAGGGGCAGCAGCAGCGAAGGAAAGCAGTCCGGGTCTTTTCCGTTTGGGGGAACGTGATTGTGATTGGCCCTGTGGTGGCAGCTGAGGGCCTGAGACCAGCCCCTTCCCAGCTCTGAGCCTACTTCCTTTATGAATGGGAGAAGTTAAGCCCCAGGGGTGCTGTGAGCATCTGGGGCAACCTGACTGGGACAGTAACTGGGAAAGGCCTGGGAGTGCCTTTTGATAAAATTCCTAGAGGTGGGGGTGCCAGGAGGAGGAGGCTAGAATTGTTCCTTGCTTGTGGCCAGCCAGGCTCTTGTCCCACCCAGTCTATTATCTGCCTGAGCCAGCTTTCGAAGGAATGGAAAAAGACCTGCATCCCTGTTTAAGGGGAAAAAATGCC